AAAAGGAATGATAAAGGTTTAAAAGAGAAAAAAAAGAAGAAAGAAAAGAAAATGTGTTGTTGGTGTGAGGTGGTGACGGAATAGGTGAACATTTCTAAACGGATCTAGCAGCTATAAATCCTGACATGTTCAAGTGAGTGCTTTTAATAACAATAAAGTTGTACCTGATGTTTGTCTAATAAAGCCAGTCTGTTACTCCTCGTTCTTTGTAGATCTTACCATCAACAAACAGTTTATCCATGGAGATCACAGCCCGCTTCCCATCCTGGATGACCTTCTTGCGCAGCGGGAAGAGAACTCGGCGGCGATCTAGAATTTCTTTAGGAAACTGATCGTTTACGCTGTAGTCTTTACCTTTAAGCTCTCTCCCGCGGCTTTTAACAAGATCTTTCTGCTTAAAGTGCTCAAATTTAGCCACGATGGGACGAGGTCTTCTGCTGTCTGTTCTCCTGGCTCCAAGGCGATGTACCCGACGAAAGGTGATGTTTTTAACCGTTTCCTCAGGTATCTTTATGTGGGTGTGGAGAAAGTTCTTGATGGTTTTTTCGCAATCCTCCGCTTCTCCTCCGGTCTGCTCTGGAAGGCCTGCGAACACCAGGTTATCTCTCATGCTGCGTGATTGGAGATCCAGAACCGTCTCCTTTAAAACTTTGTCGTCCTGGGAGATCCGATCTAATCCTGCAGTCAAGGAGGAAACCGATTCCGGCAGAGACGCGTTCTCAGCCGCGAGCCGCTCCACCTGCTCCTGGCTAAACTCCAGAGATGTTCGGAGGTCCTGGAACTCCTTGTGAAGCACCTCAAGCAGGTGGAGTCACCCCTCAAATCCCAGAAGCCGTTTAGCTATGGACTGTAGTAAATCTAAGACATCCTTATGGGGAGATGAGGCCTCAGGCGAGTCCTGGGGACGGCTCCTCTTGGTCCCAGGCGTTTCCGCCTCAGCTGCTGCTGCTTTCTTCGGTCCCATGACAAAAAACTCAAAAACCTCGTCAATATATGTTTGCAAATTTTCCAGATATTCTCCACTTACCTCCAGATTGAGTGTGTTATATTTACCAGATTTATTAATTTTTTTGCGTTGTCAGTGAGTAAATTAGGCAAAAATCTGTCTTAATTGTTTGTGGAAGTTGATTAACAAGCTGCCATCTGCTTCAAGACGCTGCCGTGTGTCCGGTGATCGGGCCGTCAGCGCATGCGCATGCTCGCCTCCTCCAAGGTTCAGATTAGGATGGTTTCCGCTCACATACCAGTTAAAATAATGCTGATAGCAAGGACTAGAAGACAGGTGATGGTTTATGTATTTAAATGATGATCAGGCTGCTGTAAAATGTAATCTCCATCCACCTCCAGACAGAATTATCCTCTATTCCTTCTCTATTTGCGCTGCCCTTGTCTGGGCTGACGTAGCTGAGGGTGCGGTACCCTTATGAACGGTGAAAGGTACATATAAGAAGTGCAGGTAGAGTTAGAAAAATCTGCAGGGCCACAAACACATTAGGGAAGATGGACTGTAGACTATTTGTCAGCCCGTAAACGATCATGGTTCTATTTATATTACATTATTCATGTGGTTTCTGCTGGGATTATTTAGAAATGAGAGGCGCAGAGCTCCAGACAGATGCGTCCTGAGCACAGCCACAGTAACATTCTCAAAGTGTCGCCACCTCAAAAACAAATTTAACATGCAATTGTTTATGTCGGCTCATATCCTTTCATGTTTTCTGTCTTTTATTTGTGCCTGATGTGTTTTACTGCTGCAGAGCGGAGCGCATAACCTGTTTCGTCCTCCAGTGACTTCACCTCACCGGTGCGGCCGGCGTGTGGTGCGCACTCCGCTATATTTGTGGTCAGTAGATCTTTTTTAACTGCAGTTCAAAGGTAACTCATAAAGTGAATATATATGAGGGCAGGTAGCAGTTTTTCTTTAGGACTGAGAGGAGATGCAGGAAGATAATAAACAGACAGGACAGAAAAATAGTCAAATAAAAACAAGTTAGTTTTTGTACCTGGTGGTTGCAACAAACAGACACCACTGAAGGTAATCAGAAGTGAGGAACAGAAAATTAAATGATTCTTTTAATGTTTAGATCAGCAGGAACTCTGAGAGGCTGCAGGCGCATCAGTGAGTTTGCGGCCGCTGCGAGGGGGAGGGGGGAGAGAGCTGAAGCAGGCAGTAAAGATGCAAAAAGTACCGTTGTTAAAAGAAATGTGTTTTAACTTAGAAAATGTGGGCGCAATTTTAATTACTTGTCAACATTTTTCTCCAACGTTAAGACTGCTGCACAAAAATATAAAATAAAATAGACTGCTGCTTGCATGGGCCCCCTTGTGGCTGTGGGCCCCTGGGCCTGTGCTCAGTTTGCCCATATTATAATCCGGCCTTGATTAGCAAGTTTAGGTATAGTAGGGTGATCATATTTCCATTTCCAAAAAAAGAGGACGAGGGATCTGTGCCTATGACGTCTCACTATGGCAACGCCACACAAACCACGTTGGGACCCATTTTTTGGTAAGAGCTAAAATTAATATCAGATTCTGCCAATAAAAGGGCTCTAAAACAATTCGTATCTAAATAATTTACATATTTATTGCAAAATCTCATTTTTCTGCTGCTTTAGTGCTGCAACAAGGTTTTATTAATAATAAATTATTATACCTTTTGTTTTACTACAGCATCGGTACGCTTCCTGTGCACAGATTATTAAGGATGCTTGTTTCAGCTGTGAGATTAGACGATAGGATCAATGATAAAATAAGTTGTCACACACTCCATGGAAACTTTCAGAGAATCCACAAATAGTGGCTTTCAAATGTTTTTTTTTTTTTTTTACTTTTAGCAAGTTTAGAAAAGAAGCAGATGAGACAGCATGTCTGATAAGTTAGTTTTTCATCTGATAATATTAGAACATGTCAGTAATGTCTGAGGAGCTTTTACAAACACTGTATAACTAACACTACTGGAGAGGGTAGGAATTACAGAGGCTTCTGGGGAGGGGGGTCATTTTGCCTTTGCCCACAAAATGCCTTGAAACGGCCCTGGGTGTGTGACTGAGTTTTGAAGGTGATCTGAATTATATCAGATGTATAACTATGACATGTGTATAACTTATTGTTTTATACAGGTAAAAATGTGTAGCGGAGATGAATCTACCTACATTTTACTTTTCAACACTTTGTTTTGTTTTCTTGTTTTTATTTAACTATTTCCTTCCTTACTTTCGATGCTGCGTCAGTGAGGTGGAGTCACCACAGCACAGGTGATGAGCTTAGCAGTAGCAGAGCGCTTCAGGCACAAATAAGACAGAAAGTAGAGAATATAAGCGGACATGAACGATCATGGGTTAGTAATAGCTTTTGGTTGCGCCACTTTGAGAATGGACCCCCCCTTTTCACACATAAGTGACGAAAAAGGACACTTTTGGCGTCAGGGGTCTGAGGCGGAGGGTGGCTGACAAAGCGTTTGTTTTTGACACGCTGGGAGTGAGAATGTGTTGGTTTGTGAGAAACTCAGAGTCGTGGTGTGTGACATACGCTGCTCAACGCTGATTGGCTCGATAAGAATTCTCAGGGGGTGGGGTTATTTGAATAGAAGAGTTCCCAGCCCCATGCTTCCTTATAGCTAGCTGGTCAGGCTAGAAAATGTTTGCAGTTTGGACATATTTTAAATTGAACAGTTTACTGTTGAAAAGATAGAGCTGCATTCCACGCTACAAATCTGATACACCATCTCAAAAATAAATGTATTATTTTAGTTTCTCCCATTTCATCTACCATTTAGTTCTAATCTGCTACCTTAAAAATAAACATCCTTCTCAATACTCAGAGTTCACAAGAATAATTCGGACAAAAACACAGCTAGCCGACCCTAAAAGTTATGTTAACAGAAATTGCCTACGGACAACAAAAAAAGTCACATTTACGACATCAGCATTCATCCCACTGAATGACTTTCTGTGGTTGCAAATGTAGGATTTTGCAGTCTCCTGGAGTCGTGGTATGAGCTTCATTCTTGTCATTATTTTACACACCATCTCTCAAGTGATGTACAGGGAAAAGTGAGACTGTCAGCCGTGACATGTCTGCCCTACCGCTGGAACACACATCATTCAATAAAGCTGCATACTGTTAAAACAATTTTAAATATAAAAACGTAGGCTCCGAACTGTTCTCTGATCAATTCTCTATCACCCATTTGCAGATCAGGGAGCAGCAAGGTGCATTTGTTCTGCTGCGTGCTGCAGAGGGAGGATGGCAGCTTTGTTAAAGCGGCTGGAAGTTAAGCAGCATCTGAGCAGCTTGCAAAAAATAGAACAAACAACAAATTCCCGTGATTGTATGTAAAATAGACGCTCATAGGTCACACGGATGCATTTTCTAAATCACTAAAACTATTTTAACAGCTGTTTGTGCCCTCTGTGTGCCCGCTCACTGCTGTCTGCGTCGGTGTGAGGTTCTCGATTGGGGGGGGGGGGCATGCAATCCCAGCCCATAGCGTTAAAGTACATTTGTTAACTTGTGTGAATCTTCTCACTGTAAAAGTAGAGGTCATCGATAATTGTTCTCGGCTGGGGAGGGTGGATGTTTTACTGAGCAAAACTAACACAGTTTGAAGAAGGACAACTAAAGATAAAAGTCCTCAGGGGCTCATTTTAGGGAAAAAGAGAACAAGATGAGGAGAGATGAGTGAAAAACACATAAACAAACAGACATGTCATAATAATAAGTATTATGTGTTTAATTCCTCCTGAACCTACAATAAGAGAAAATGTAATAGTTTGTTCACCCATGGCACCAAATGGGCTAGCACCGCCCCTGTCAGGGTGGAATATCCCTTTAAAAAGATACAAGGATTTTCCCAACAGCATCAATTTATGAAGGTTTGACTTGATTTTTTCCCCTCACATTTTCCCAAAACTGTGTACAGGCTGCCACTGGTTTCAGTCCAAGTAAGTCATAAACAATAAATATTAAAAGTAAAATTTGCTGTGGTGTTTTGTTTTTACCTGCACATCTGCGTACAAAGGTTGGAGTAGCTGCAGCAAACTCCTCGACCAGCGGCTATCACTTCCTCTGGAGAGCTTAGCTTCTCTGAGTGGCCAAGATATCCGCTCACATCATACTCTGTGAAAACAAGATTTCCAGGAAATCTGGCTTCATCCCCTTACCATAAACAAACTTTCTGAATGTTGATCATTCTGCAATATCTATGTGCTGCTTTGTGCGTCTCAGTAAACCCACCAATGTTGTGGCACAGCCAGACCCAGATGGAACGAAGTCTCTCCAGCTCAGTTCTGGCTCCCTCTGTGATACTTTGTACTATTGTCTTCACATCATACACACAGTTTTCTTTTAGCTTAGAAACACACAAGCATACACGTATCACTGTCAGGGAAAACAGCTGTTCACAGCTCAGTAAGGTCAGACGGTGGCTAGGACTGCATTTCTAGCAAGCTTTACATTTTTTTTACTGAAAAGATCAACAGCTTTCTTCACACTGTTACAGCATATCTTGTGTAGTGATTTCAACAAGTTGGTCAATTAAACATTAATTCTGGTTTCACTGCAATTTATTTAGCTCTTAATTCTCTTAGACTGAGTATGATCAATTATTGAAGAGTTTTGAATGTGAACATGATGCACTGCTCAGGAGAAAACCCGATGTTGTAGCTTTAACAGAAGAGGTTACAGCACCAAGCCTCACCTCCACTCCAGTCCTGATCACCTGGGAATCAAGTCTGTGGAAGACCTCTGGGCTGGTGAAGAGATCCTTTCTGTGCCTCCGTTTGCCGACTGCAGCAGCATGTGGAGGAACCCTTTGGCCCAGTCTTGTGTTCTGCTGATCTCTTTTCTGTCCACGTGCATCAGTTTTCATTAAACCTTTCTTCACTGCTGCAATAGCATTGCCCACAGATGCTTTCTGTACTGCTAGATGTTGGTCCTCCTTTTCCCCCTTCAGACTATTGTTCTGTTTAAGAACCACAGCAGTCAGAGACTCGTCAGTGCAGATTGTGGGCTGGGTGTCTGCCTTGTCCACCCCAGGAGGAGGCTTTGCACTCCCATGCGTTTGGTTCTCACCCACGACTCTAGCAGGGCTCAGCTTGACTAAATTTACATTTTGTTTAGACTCAGTAGGCTTTGGTTCTTTGACCTGTACACATTCCTTCTGGGTCACCTTCTCTTGTGGAGAAAGGTGTACAGAACACTTAAAAGGAAACGAGAACTTCTGGATTGCAACTTCAGCTGACATTATGCTGGAGGCATGGCTTCCTGAGCAGAGTGAAGAAAGAGAGGCACAGTTAGAAATATCTGATAGAAATATTGTAAAGAACGACTTCAGTACTACATTTGCTCTGACACGTGCCTGCATAAGATCCATGGCTCTCTAGTGCATTTAGAAATAATGCATGTAAACTTTACAGCAAATTCCACGTTAGGCAGTGATAGATCTGTAATTGTACAACAACTATTCATAACCTGAAATGAAACCCTGGATTAAAGTCATTAGTCATTGTCACAGCTACAGCACAAAGAAAGTCAAAGCCTTAATCACGGGATGCTGTCTGTGAGACAGAGCTTCCAAATGAAGCCCACGTTTATCATAAATTATAAATAAGCTTCATTAATCAGCTGAAAAGCAACTGATTCCTTCACAATGACCGTCCTTCAACCATTGGCCAGACTGAAGCCCTGTGTTGGAGCTCAAGTGTCCCTGTGCAGGTCATTAAGTCCAGCCATGCCGTGTGAACACTGGGCCACAGCTATATCTAACCTTGACAATTCCTGGAGTGTAACAAAAGCAAAAGCCACAAAATGTGTGTCTGTGTGCTACATTTCATGTTGGAGAAACCAACCTAACAATTAAATCAAAATGTGATATAGCTATTTTGAAAAGGAAAAACCTCCTAAATGTGCATAAAACCATTATAAAACCTAAATTAATCCAGGTAAAAATAACTGTTGCTACATCAGGCTTGAACTTACCCGGGGAAGATGTAAAATGTCTACAGGAGTGTAGTCTTCTTAGTGCTCCCTGTTTGCAGCGGGAGACTTAAATACCGTCCCAGTGGCCTGCTAGCACTGGCCCCAGAATAACAGGCCTAAAAATACTACAAAGCTGTTCAGACCAGCCAATAGTGTAAGCCCCAACAGAGGAGTGTAGTGTGTCTGTATGCATTCAAAGTGTGAATGTGTGCTTACAGGTGCATGCTGAAACTTTCTGGTGTGTAAGCAATGGATCCATTTGTGTTTCTCTTCAGCACAGCAGGCAACATGAGTGGGAGGTATTGACTGTGTGTCTCAGCTCACAAGTCAGCCTGGCTTTGCAAGATATGCAAAAGTAAATTTTCCAAGCAAAGCGCCTAAAATAGCATCTGGGACCAATACATTTGTTTTAAGATTTTTTTTATTATTTTATTACTTTATTTTTCTGATGTAAATCTATTTCTGTCTTAGGACCATTATGATTTCATGGCTTTTTGTTTCATTTTGTTTTGATCTATGTGAAGCATTTTGTGACTCTATGTCTGTGATGTGTGCTATATAAATAAAATGCACTTACAAATAAGAAAGTTGGGTCAAATACAGGTGAAACACGTGTAGCAAGAAGAATTCTGTCACACCCTGTCCTGTCTCCCCATTCTGTTCAGTCATGTGTCCCTGTTAATTGCTCCCACCTGCCTCTCATTTTCCAATCACCCAAGCTCCCAGCCCTCATGTATTTAAACCCCTTCAGCTCTGTGTCTCTTGTTGGTTCATTGTTTCAGTAGTACAGCGTGTTGTTATTATTAAAACCTTTTGTAAACCCTTCCTTCCTTCCTTCCTTCCTTCCTTCCTTCCTGCCTGCCTGCCGTTGCACCCGAATATGGATCCTCACCTCTGCATTCACTCACCAGCACGCCTGTGACAAATTCATTGTTCCAGGTTTAAGTCAGATCTGAAGTCTGTAAAAAATAATGTTAATTTGACCTTCCTAACACACTAGACTTTCTTATGGTCTAGATTCTAAGCATCTGTGGGTCCACGTTCTTTGATTGGGACATTAAAATATATAGCTACAGTCCAGTGAAGTCTGAAGGGGTTTTAGGGATTGGTAGTTATATTCAACTAAAACAGATGTCTCAAAAGTTATTCTGCTTGATTTTTTACCAAACCAACTTCTGTGGTAGAATTTGCAGAAGCCTTCATTATGAAAAAACTGACCACTGAAATAAACGTTATGAACAAGTGAGCCATAGAGCAGAGAACAAAAACAAACGACAGCAAATCAGTTGGTTTGCATTTTAATAATCTAATTAGTTCAGCAAAAATATATTTTCTATTATATAAAAACCTACTTTAACATTTTTAAAAAATAATAGTTAAGCCACATGATCAGAGTGAAAAATATTTTTAATCTTTTGTTGCAAATTTAAAAATGCACTGCTGCAGTTTCCCTTCTGACCAGCAGGGACCACTAGTGAGTAAACAATGGGCAGGAATGGTAGCAGGAGAAGAGTAGAACCGATTAGTCTACTAGAGATCTATTATTCATGCACAGAGGCTTCCAGGGGAGGTCTGCGAGACAGTTGGGTGGGGGGTGTGATTGTAGGGGCCCCTGGACATGAAAAAGCTGGCCCCAACCAAAACAACTATAGTTTATCAGATAGATGTTAACAACCAACTCTACATCTGGAACACTTCAATCTTAATTTAAGTGTGTGTGTGTGTGTGTGTCATGTCCCATCTACTATTTGGTTGATGTGAAGATTGTTTAGTGCACACATTATTCAAACATTTTGGGATTTAACAAGATATGATTATATGACAGTTATGCAATTATCAAGTTTTAAAAAAGTAATTTATGATTCAAGGAAGATGAACTTTATTCAGAGTGAAAGTGCAGGAGTCTGTTCTTCTGCCTGAGACCTTGAGCAAAGATATTATGGCTTCCTTGTTCAGTCACAAGGTCTTATGCGGTGCTTCTTGTTTGTAGGCCAGATAGAGGTAATGCATCCCTGGATGTGTTATGCAGTTTGTCGCTGCAAATTAAGTTAATTTCTGTTCATTTTGATGAAAAACTTGACCTTTGGTACGCTACAACTCCCTCCCTTTCCAAGGACACGGGATCACGGACAGAAGACCATGAGGCATCGGACAACCTTAGAGGCCCTGAGGACCCAGCAGAGGAAGACAGAGTTAGTTCTGTAGCACCAAAAGCAGCAGGAGTGAGGAAAAGCAAATACACAACAGAACAGTCAATAGATATCCCAATCAGCAAATTGTTATCCCACTTAGCGAAATCCACAGACAGAGACCACAATGAGAAGGAAGCCAGAGCCATGAGGAGAAACGGACCAGACCATTGCAAAGACAGCAAAGCCAGGAGACAGGAAAACCCAGAGGACGCCCAGAACTCCATAAGAACCAGAACCCAGAACAGAAGGAAGCATAAGCCAGGTGATGGCCGAAGACGGCACAGATGGCATTCCCAGACAGCGAGGACATCTGGCGAAACTCAGCAAAGCATCAAACCGCATACACAGGGCATTTGGCTGATTGGCTGCACCTGGCGGTATGGCGTTTCCTGCTTCCTGTTTTCAGTGTTGCACTACGTGTAGCTGTTTGGTGTTTAGGGCTCGCTAAAACTGATTTAATTTCTCTGTACTATGATATCTCTGAGTTATAGTAGTACATAAGCACGCTAAAACACATTTTCTGTTGTTCCTCCTAGCTTTTAGGGAACCATTTGAGTTTGCACGCAGTTTATTTGGTGTTGAACAGTTTGCTTCTCCAGTTAGCTTAGCCTCAGCACGGCTATGGCTACTTCTGTCTCTGTTTCTCCATCTCCTATCTCTTGCTCTCTGTGTCAGATGTTTAGTTACTCCTCTGCCTCCTCTAGCGATAATGGTACGTGTCATAAATGTAGCATTTTTGTAGCTTTGGAGGCAAGGGTGTCGGAATTGGGAGTCCCGGCTCCGCGCTGTTGAAAAACCCATAAACAGCCGTAGCTACTTAGCTAGTGCGGGGCTAACTAGCTCAGAACCACCCCGTAGCGATCCTCCAGCAGAACCCGAGCAGCCGGGACCTCAGGCCGGCTGGGTGACGGTACGCAGGAAGCATAGAACCCAGCCCGTGGGCCACCACCAACCCGTCCACGTTTCTAATAGATTTTCCCCGCTCAGTGACGCACCCACTGACAAGCCGACTCTGATCATTGGCAGCTCCTTAGTCAGAAACATGGCATTAGAGACTCCAGCAACCATAGTTAAATGTTTACCTGGGGCCAGAGCGGGCGACATTAAATCTTATCTGAAACTGCTGGCTAAGGATAAGCGTAAATACAGTAAGATTGTTATTCACGCTGGCGGTAACGACACCCGGTTACGCCAATCGGAGGTCACTAAAATTAATGTTGCTTCGGTGTGTAAATTTGCCAAAACAATGTCGGACTCCGTAATTTTCTCTGGCCCCCTGCCTGATCGGACCAGTGACGACATGTTTAGCCGCATGCTGTCCTTCAACCGCTGGTTGTCTAGATGGTGTTCTGAAAACAACGTGGGCTACATTGATAATTAGAAAACTTTTTGGGGAAAACCTGGTCTGATGCGGAGAGACGGCATCCATCCCTCTTTGGATGGGGCAGCTCTTCTTTCTAGGAACATGGCCAGTTTTATTAGTCCTCCATGACAACCCAGGGTCCAGACCAGGAAGCAGAGTCGTAGTTTAACCCACCCCTCTGCAGCTTCTGTACTGTTACCCACCCACTACCCCATAGAGACAGTGTCCTGCCCACGGCCAAAACCACACAGATTAAATATCAGGCTCAATAAAGCAAATCATGGAATTCTCATGAATATTAGAACAAATTCAACTGAGCAGAAAACTAGAAAAATTAAATGTGGGTTGTTGAACATTAGATCCATTTTTTCTAAGACTTTGTTAGTTAATGACTTGATTTGTGATAATCAGATCTCTTTGCTCTCTCTCACAGAATCCTGGCTGCACCAAGAGGACTATGTTAGCTTAAACGAGTCGACTCCTTCAAATTATTTAAATCATCATATTGCAGGGCGAGGAGGAGGAGTAGCAACCGTTTTTCATTCTGACTTATTAATCAGTCCCTTACCAATTAATAGCTACAGTTCGTTTGAACATCTTATTCTTAGTTTTCCTAATCCAGATTGCAAAACTGTGAAACCACTCTTGTTTGTAGTTTTATATCATCCACCAGGCCCTTACTCTGAGTTTTTGGATCAGATCTCTGATTTTTTTTATCTGATTTGGTGCTAAATACTGATAAGGTCATTGTAGTAGGGGATTTTAATATTTATGTGGACATTGAAAATGATAGCCTCAATGTAGCCTTTAGTAATATCTTAGACTCGGTTGGTTTTACTCAAAGAATACATAGCTCCACCCACTCCTGCCATCATACATTAAACCTTGTGCTGACTTATGGCATAGAGTGTGAGGAAATAACGATCTTTCCACACAATCCAGTCCTCTCAGACCACTTTCTGATAACCTTTGATTTTTTTAACGGAGTTCTCGAGACATGAAAGTAAATTTCACTATAGTCGGTCTCTATCTGACAACGCAGTTGCATCTTTTAAATCAACTGTTCCTTCTTTACTGTCCTCAGCATCTCAGAGGCATGTAGCAGAGGGCAATATTTTCAGTTCTAGCCCCTCACAAATTGATGCCTTAGTTCATCATGTTAATTCCTCTTTTGAACACAGGGAAAAATAGTTCCTTCTGGCAGAGTGACAGTAAGTCCCGTAGAACCACACAAAATGGTGGCTCCTAACTTGATGAGGAGATCTCTTCCTAGTAAGTTGACTGGAACTGTCGGTGAACAGACGAAGCTGTGCAGTACTGTCTGGTTTCCCACCGTGGTCGGAAGTGGCAGGGAGAAAGGCAGAGTTTGTTGTTCCCCAGAGAAGCCCATAACTGAAATAGTGCGTGTAGATATCTTAGAGGGCGGTACAGTTTGTATGGTGGAGCAGGTGGCACCAGTGTCAACCAAAAATGGTTGATGTTGTCCATCTACAGTTATTGACAGCAGGGGGTCTGCCGTGGCTCCCTGACCGTCAGAGTTTCTCTGTGGGGCGTCCTATTGTCTTGGACCACCCTCCCACTGGTCCCAGCCCATCATTGG